AGGAGAAAGTAGAAGAGAATAACTGGAAAATATCTAGGAGGGACCTCAGGTGCTCTCTTCATGCAGCTTTGATTTCTGGAGGCTCGTGACAAGGTTGCTGTCCCTGGTCAGTCCGGCTGCTCTCCCTCCTTCACCCAGGGTTTGCGTGCCCCCACTTGTCTTGTCGCACCCTGAGCCAGTCCTGGCAAAATGATCCAGGTTATGGAAAAACGTCCGTTAAAAAAGCCATTAAGCGAACCCAGGCGTCTTGACTGAGCCAGACACGGGAGCAGTGGCGACGCGGGCAGGCTGGGTCCGAGGAGGCCATGCTGGGTCGGCCTCAGCCAGCGCAGGGCGTGTGTTGTCGTCCCGGCCGTGCAGCTCCACTGGTGGGCAAATGCCTCACAGGCAAGACAAGAGGGAAGCGTGTCGGTTGTTTTGTTCACAGGCAAAAGCAAACCCTGAATATAGAATATGAATATAGAATATGTGTTTTGTGCACGTTGTCACGTCCTTCTGGAGCAGCGTTTGGCGATGCACAGGCCTCTGAGACCCTGTACTTAAGAGTTAGCATGCACTGTAATTGTACCACCCTGAGCTGGCCGTAGCTGCTGGGGATGAGCTACGTGCGTGAGTTGTGCAGGGAGATCGCTCAGGAGAGAGAGTTTTGGAGCGGCACGCTGGCTGCTGTGTTAGGAGGCAGTGGGGACACGTGGTTGGAGAGGCTTGGCAGAACTGCAGTACCCTGGATCGCAGCCCGAAGGGGTAAGGGGTGAGGCAGGGCGCAGTCTTCCCTTTTTAGCAGGTTCTAAACCTCTTTGCCACCCTCTTTCCGTGACCCCGTGCATGCAAGCAAAGGAGGTGATTTTTTTGTTGCTGAGATCTGGAGGTTGTGTCAACAGTACAGTGTCAGGATTTCCCTGCCTTGGGTGCTGTAGGTGGGAGGGCATGAGAGGGCTCTGCACCTGCAGCCATGGGTAAGTGGGCTGGAGCTAACACGAGGTGCGATCCCGGAGTAAGAGAAGCAGTTGTTAAATGTAGCAAGTGTGGGTTTGCTCTGCCAAGTCGCTGCTTGAGCAGAGAACAAAGGTAGGTGGTGGCATGAAGTCCTCACACCCTCTCTGAGCTGAGGCAGGACTTGGTTTTGGTGCGAAGGTACTCCTGTGCTCAGTGTTGTGGAGAGCAGTGCTAGCTAGAGGGAGAGCTGCTGATGGGTGGAATGGGTATCTTACGTTACTCGGTAAAAGACGACAGAAATAAAAGTTATTCTGATGTGTAACTAAACTCTTCATTCCCCCGGAGATTTCAGTTACCAAGCATAACATTTTTGTGGGGAAAAGATAACAAAGACCTTGTTTGGCGTAGAGGCAAGGCAAAGTAGTCTACTGAATTTTGGTGGCTGTATTTGTTTCGTACAGACACCATCCGAGTGCTGGCTGTGACGGACACGGCCAGTGTGTGGCTCTGCACCGACATGGTCCTGTTCCCAAGTAACGCTGATTCTGCCCAGCTCTGGCTGTGACCTTCATTGCAGATCTCGAAGCGCTCTTCGTTTTTGTTCCCACTGAACAGTTAAAGACCTGAGGCACACAGCGGAGGAACATTTCGGAGACACGGCAGCGTTAATGCACCAGCAGCCAGCCGTCGTCTCCTGCAGCTGGGCTGCCACAGTCGGGTCCCTGGCTCCCGTACTGCTTCCTTGCCTCGCTGGAGCTCTTGATTTCATTTTGCAAGATTTGCAGAGGGCTATATTTGGGCCCGAGACTGTTACTTTTAGAGACTTTAAAATAGGCTAATGTACAAAAATAAGATTTTTCTGACAGTTTAATGAACCATTTTTGGTTTTGGGAGGGGAGGATGGCAGTAAGATGGAGGGGCTTTTCATGTCATATCTTTAGTCATAGAAGGGCCAGAGGGTCCATCTATGGTGTTAGCATCCTCCCAGAGCTCCATGTCCATTGTCCCATCCAATTCTTCCCCCTTGATCTGTTTCCAAAACTCCTCTTTCCATATCCACCCACTTTTCCTCCCTCCTGCCGTGCCCTGTCCTTTAGCACTGCCCCAGATGTCTTCTCCTGCGCCTGCTGCCTGCATTGTCAGCTGCACACAGATTGCATTTCCCTGAATCAATTTTAAGGAGCCATTGATGGAGTTGGATTTCAGGAAAATGCCTACCATTCATTTCTAGGTTCCTGCCAGGATGGGTTTCAAGTGTTCACTCCAACTAGGAGCTGAGCAGATGCTGCAAAGGCCAGCACACCAGAGAAGTGTTTGCCCTGGGCTTTCTGGTCGTGTCTGTCTCGGCCTCTTGTGAAGGATGACTGTTATCCAGGGGTGATGTGCTTGTGCCAGCTTTGAAGTCATCATCAAGGAGGTTGGGGCTGTGTTACCGGAGGTAGGTTGTGTGGCTGAGGTCAGCTGGGGGATGGGGAGAATGACAGTTTAGTCCTCAACTCTGTACCAAAAGAAAAAAAAGAAAAACAGAGGAAAGAGGAAAAAAAAAGGAAAGGAGGAGTGGAGGCAAGGGGCCAGAAGCTGTTGACCTTGGAGGGCCGTGCTTCCAGGAGGCCATCCATCCGCTGCCCTGTGTTGAAGTGAGCGCAGGTTTGGAACGCTAATCCTTTCCTCTGACCCTGAGGACTCCACATTTCAGAGAGTGTGAGTGAGCAGATGAATTATATTAGAGTTAGAAGAGCCTGGTTTTAAACCAAAAAAGCTTTCAACCTTGTCTTTAGCAGAACGGTGTTGACATGGAGGTCTTTGTCTTTCATACTGCTTGCCCCTTTCCTCCTCCTCTCCCCCACCTGCAGTACCACCTAGCGATCGCAGCAGCTGTTTGTTGTACCAAAAGCTTCCTATGTGTCTTACCTCATGTTTGCTTTGGCTTAAGATACAGCCCAGTCCTCCACATGTTTACTGCTGGACGTGCTCCCTCTGACATCTGCAGGAGAGCAGCGAGTCCAGCTGCTGGCCGAAGGGATCCTAGCAGCAGCTGCTGCCCTTCTGGGGCATGGACCTTCTCAAAGAAGTTGTGGTCGTGTCCTGAACACAGAGTGTATTTTTACTAACGTCCTTCCAAGATAAAAGGCTGCGAAGACTACCACCATTTACGGACTAATTAGCCAGAAGCCTCCGTCTCAATTGTCATAACCCAGATGTGATTCTGCTAATTTCAAGGCTATGACTCAAGGGCAAAAACTGACACACAGGAGTTGAGAGCGGGTCTACATCACAGGCTCTTGTCGGGGAGGCCGTCGGTCAGGGCTTTGATGGCATGTGTGATCTTCGGCCAGTGCAGCTGTGCTGACAAGAAGTCCTCAGCACAGACTTCTGCTAGTTACACCGGCAAAACCTTGTTTTCACTGGTATTGCTGGCATGGGGGAGGAGAAGCTTTCCTGCAAGTTGGGTGGTGCCACTGTGAGCTCTGGCAATGGTGACCTCCCTTTAGCCATCCCGTAGAGCCCGGTCCAGCTGCTCTGGCAGCCTCCGTGGTAAGAGCTGGCCTTAGTGGGCGCGGTTGTGAGGTTCCTGTTAGGAAGTCAGGACTATGCTTACCTTTATTTATTTTTTTTTAAGAGTCTTTTGAATGCATTTTTAAAAATTTACATCTTGTTCTCAAGAAGGCTTTGATCTTATTAATCTTTTCATCTATACATCAATCTGTTGCATGAAAATGCTGGAACATGCTTTTATTGTGGCATGACATTTCTTTGGTTTGTGTTTTCATTTTTTTTTTGCATAGCTTAGAGAATTTCTCTTCCCTGAGGCTCTCCCTCCAGCTTGATCCTACATGAAAGGTGACTACAGATGTGTCAGGTTTTGGAGTGCCACTTTAGACCGTGTCTTTGATTTTCCTTTGCAGGGATTTCCTGATGTCAAATTAGAACAATTCTTTCTCTTCCCTCGCATGAAGATAGAGAAAGCATTTTGGGTGAGTCTGCACATTCAGTTGTGAGCAGACATGAGCTCTCTCTGCCTGTCTCCACCAGGTGGGATGCACGCCGACTTTAAACCCAAAGTCTTGTGGTTGCTACAGCGTGAGGCAGAGTCTGGACTAACTTACCTGCTCCCTGTCTGTGTTACTAAGTTGAGCAGCTGGTGTGCTGTGGTGGTTGTGGTCATTTGGCCAGTTCGAGGCACGGGCAATGTGATTGAATCCATCCGTGTTTGGCTGCGTAGCCTTCATCTTGGTCACTTACATACGCTCTTCTCCCCTAGTTCTTGCCGTAGGTTTACACCTCAGGTCATGCTTTCCATAGGTACAGCCATGCTTTCCTAAAATGTCCATCTGCTCATGATAGCAGCTGTTCTTGTGAAAACCCTTGTGCAAATGCAGTCACACCTGTGGAAGGCAGTGCCCTGCGGTGTGACTTTAACCCAAGGGAAAGGGGAGGAGGGGGCATCTGGCAGCCAAAAAAAATCGAAACTGTGTCTCCTCTACATGCCTATCAAAATATAACCTATGTAACAAGTCACTACTAACTGAGCCAAATCAGGATCGTTGAAGTTGTCGGACCCTCACTGAAGACAGGGGTGTGACAAGGTGTCCTTTTTAACTTTCCTCAGTGTAAACTAGAAATTGCTCTACTTAATCGTTGATAGCATCATGGTGATAGCTGATCACTTCAACCTTTGGTAAGAGTTGACTCCTTTGGTCCTGTGTGTAACTGCGAGAGATTTTGCCTTGTGATGGTGGGCTGGGGAGGAGAAGGCTGGAGCGTGAAAGGCAGCCACCTGGGACGTTTGCTGCCGGAGCACGCCGCCTGCTTTGCAGCCCCTCTCCGTCGCAGACATCCTTGCTGTGGACACTTCGGCATGGCCCAGTGGTATGCTCGAGGACTGCACCGAGGTCTCTCACATGCTTTGTGTTGACCATTCAGAGGCTGAGACACTAGGCGGTACCTAAAGATCTTTGAATATTTGTTGTCCTTGATATTGTTGTCCCGTTGCAGGTAAACGTACACTTCTTGGTTTATGAAAACATACTGAATTTCTTTTTCTACCTCTATCATTTGCCTAGGTCCTGAGGGAGACAAATAAATTGGCTGAAATGGAAGAGCCACCTTTGCTACCAGGAGAAACCATTAAAGACATGGGTATGTGAGGAGGAAATTCCTCGTTGTTTGCTGACCAAGTAGAATATCCACAGAGCAAAACATCCGGGCAGTCATTGACCGACAGAAAATTGCTGGTGGTTTGAGAACCATGATCGGGTTGTTTCATTAATCAAGTTGTTGCATATCACGTGAGCCAAGGTAACTATGCGTCTCCTCTCAGCATGTAGCAAATGCAAGGCAGTTCAACATATCTTAGCACGAGTGTTGAGGTAGGTGGTACAACTTTGCGTTTGCTGCCTCCTGAGAGGACGTGGATCAACTGTTTCAAGTTCTGCTTGCCACAGAGTGACTTTGCATGTTGACACAGCATGACTGTGTGTCGATTTTTGCAGGAGAGAATACAGTGCTGCTGCAGAGACCTTGCTGTCATATGGGATTGGGTCTTTTTTCTTTTTTTTTTTTAATCCAGACTTTCTGACATGCATCAGGTTTGCTGATGCACTCTAGTCTGAAATTTTGAGTAAGTCTCTTGATTAATTTTCTGTGAAAGATTTTACTTCCACTAGTTTAACATGTTGCTTTCCTCTTAAAATGAAATGAAAGCAACTTCAGTCCTAAAAAAATCTGAACACCCTACCAAAAAACCCCACCCAACAAAAAACCCAAAACCCCAAAGAACATAAACAAAAAAATCCCACCTCAATGCTCAATCCTTTTCTTTGCTCCTTTCCTAAGGACTCTGAACTCGTACTCCAGCCACGCGCTGCAGAATGACATCTAACTCCACGGGCACAGTTAGCTCTGGCAGCAAGACTGTGTTTTGAAGCGTTCCTGGGGAATGGTGTAGGAGATCAGAGTTATTGGTGTTTTGTCTGTTGGCAGATGATGTGATGAGCCCCATCAGTCTGTAAGACTGGGTGGCTTTCGGAGTAGGCCAGACAGCAGCTGCCTGGTCCAGCAAGAAGTTAAAGGTAGCAAAAAGGAAATCCTTGTTATTCATAAGCAATAATTATTTCCTGTTAAAAGCATCAAGAACGGCAAATGTAATTTGCTTTGTATTTTACAGGGAGGGGAAAAAAAATTATTTCAACCAACCCAATAATCTGGGGTAGGATTTGCCCTATAAAAGACAAGAATTCCGTAAGCAGGGAAATTAATAAATCCTGATTTCTGGTATCTTTGTCGCCTGTGTCTTCTTGTATATCTACCAAAGCTGAAGCCTATTAGACTTTCCCGTGGTAGTATCACTGGTACAACCTCTCTCATACCTGGCATTCGTTCTCACAAACAGGGAAGGATCTTAATGCCTTTGAGATCCCTATTTATCAGGTAGACACTGCTGAAATCTTGCAGCCTTGGCAGGGTGAAGGTCACACAAGCCATGTGTGTAGGTTCATGTGTACATGTGCCGTGTAATTAAGTAAAATTGTTTCCTTAGGAAACCAAGCTAATTAAATGCAAATGTGAAAGGTGATGTGGCTTGCAAGCTGGCAAGGCCAGTGTTTGAGCTCATGCCTGGGATTCCTTACCTGGAAAACATTTTTCTAGCACCTTTCCTCTTTACTCTGAAACCCTGTTCCTTTTTGGATGTAAATTCGGATGTACTTCTCTTATTAGTAGTTTGGGGTTTTTTCCCCCAAACAATTTTGAAATTATATTTTGAATAATGGGAACTCTAGTGGAAAAACCAGACAGGCTGCCCTCACCCTTGTTATGCTTCATGAGTATGCTTTCAAACTTCTGTCGAACTAGTCTTTGAAAAGAAGTGATTAATAATCACCCAATAATGAAACACTTGGCTTAGTTAGAGCTGGCTAGAAGCATTTTGTGTTTAATTGTCCTTCCAGCAAATGCGTGTACATTAAAAAAATATATATATTTTTAAATGTTATTTACTTTTAAACAAAAATTCTGTGCCTACGTATTTTGCTCTGAATTAGTCACCCCTGATTTTTTAAGGATCCTTCTCCATATCCACATCTCGAGAGTCAGTGAAGACTATGCAGAAGCAGAGTTGACGTGAGGATGATTTAGTTAGATGACTTGCCAGTGCCTTGGAGTAAGGCAGTCTCTCTTCCTCGCTCCCTCCAGGCTACATCTGATGGGATAAAGGTAGAAGAAATTCAGGTTCCCCATCCTGACACCCCAGCAGCCTCATGCTTCTTGTGCGTGGTGGCTGTCACCTGGCTGGGAGGCGACCTGTCCTCCTCACTTCCCACAGCCCTTGCAAAATGGATCCCATAGGGTTTGGAAGCTTGTGGTTATTAAGATGGTCCAGGGGGTTCTTGCATGGATCTGGCAGCTCTAGTCAGTGGGTCTCCTTCTGACAGGATCTCTGAACATTTGAGGGGTGTCATTGCTTGTTGGTGACAGCGTAAACCATTGCTACGGCACAGCCAGCCAACTGCTTCAGTGGCAGAAGACGTGATGGATCATTGCTGGGCAGCAGAGGGGAGGGAACAACTTAAATGTTGGTATTTTTAATTGATGTAAAACAGAAGGGCTCTTAGGGGAGGTGTTTGCTGTGGAAAACCAGCAGCACCTCTTGACTTTTGCTGGAAAAAGTGAGAAAAGTATGAGGCCGTTTAAGAAGGGGACTGTTTTGAGTCACCGTCACTCAGGCTCAAAAATAATTGAATTGTTGCAGAGTAACTTGATTGCTGACTTCAGACTTAAAATCACCAGCAGTTGGGTGCTATGCAGATTCCTGGCTGCTGGAAACCGCTGTAGCTCCGCTGGCTTTTGGCACGAGGGCCGTCATCCCTCTGAGTCTGCGTGCAAGGCTGTGCGGAAGGACCCAAGCATCCTCAAAGCCACGTGTAGGAGAACTGCCTTCTCCTGTCCTTGGTGGCACCAACCAGCTTGTGGACGATCCTTAGCTTTTATGCAGATTGTTATCAGCTTCAGAAGTATGCATCCCGGCAGGAATCGTCTCCTCTTTTCGTGCATGGTGTTCTCAGCTACTGGCAATGCGTTGCTCAGTAAGAGTAAACAGTTTGCAGCCGAATACTGGCTTTTTACAGGGGTAGCAGTTCTGTGCAAACATGGGATTCTAGGTGATGGTGCTTGTCTGGAGTTCAGTTTATACCCAGACTCTTAGCTTCTCCACAGAACTGAAACTTGCACGTTAGCGCTAGACTAGAACCCTAGATAAAGCTGGTTTTCATTCCATCACCTGAAAAGTAGAGCCCCCAAATATTGTTGCTGTCATAATTTTACTCCCATAAATTAACCATGAATTTAACAACTTTTTTTTTTTTTACTTTTTTTAAGCTAAGGATGTTACTTACATCTGCCCTTTCACTGGAGCAATCAGAGGAACCCTTACTGTTACCAATTATAGACTGTATTTTAAAAGCATGGAACGGGTAAGCTTCTGAAACCGTCTGCTTTTGTTTGCTATTCAATTTGTTAGACCTAGGTGTTCTTTGAGAGTAATTTTGTTTGAATCACAGCTATATGTTTGGCAATATGGGCATAAGGGAGCAGGAGCTGGGGATTTTTCCCTCTCCCCTTTTTAAACTCACAAATTTCAACTGTCTACAGGACCCTCCTTTTGTCCTAGATGCATCTTTAGGTGTAATCAACAGAGTGGAGAAAATTGGAGGCGCTTCCAGTCGCGGTGAGAATTCGTATGGGCTGGAGATTGTATGCAAGGTAAACTTCAATCTGTTGTTTTACAATAGGGGAAGGGGAACATATATTTTAGAAGTTTTTCTCTGTAGTACTGTAGGAAGTTCTGTGAAACATTTCAGTCAGCATGATTTCACACACCTCAAAAAACGTCTGATTTTAAAAGTAATTTTCAGGATTCTCGAACTCAAGTCATTTGAGACAAAATCCAAACCTTTATTCAGGCTTTGTGCTAGGTAATGTCTTTTATTCACAGTGGAAACCTAGGCCTGCATCCCACTAATGCAGTTGGCAGGCTTGCCCACCAGGCTGTCCCAGGAAGACTCCAGTCGTTGTGGAGTAGAGAATGCCTTTCACTCACTTGCATTTCAAGAGCAAGAAAGGGGCACATTTCCCCCTGTATCATGAGCTTGCATCCAGTTGCTGCTGTGCTCTGTGGTGCGGGACTGGCGAGTACCCTTCAGTCCTCCTCAGGGCTGTTTTTTCATTTCTTTCAAGGCAGTAGATATTTTACGTGTGCCTCTCAAGAGCCCTTGGAATCACTGGAAATACAGACTTCAATAAAAATTAAGAATTCACCTCCTTGTGTCTACTTACTATAGACCCACAAAGTAGATAAAGCCACCAGCTCCCGTCCTAAATCCGTGCAGGGTCTGAACCTCACAGGTCTCGGGCTGCTTAGAGCTCTGTCAGAGCCTGCTCCGGGCCGAAAGGATGCCACTGGCTGGATAAGGGCAGATGGAGGAATGAAAGTGAGTCCCAAACTACTCCGGTCACTGCTGTGGTTCTGAGGCACCGGTAAGCTAAGCAGCCTCAAGCTGTGGGTGTGCTGAGTCAGGAGCAGTTAATATAATCCACACCAAATCACCCAGCTGCTTCCTCACCCTGTTGCGGTATGGTCCTCCATCGCTAACGTAGGGTTGCTTGCTCTGGCAAGAGAATTTGTTCCCTGTTTTGATCTGGATTCCTGGTTCTCAGCCATTTTGCCTATATGCAAATTTGCACACATGGTCAGGTTTGGAGCGAACCACGTTGTTTCCCTGGGTGGGAAACCCAGGCACAAACTGTGCGATAGGTATCTTGGCCCCAGACAGCACATACGTCTGTGCCATCCTGCCTGGCCCAGGATATTCAGGATATGCATCCTGAAATGTTCTCCGTCTGAGACCAGTTACCTAATCTCAGTCTTGTGAGACATATAAGTCTTCAGCTGTTTATCTCATTCTCTGACGTGCTGTACTGTCTTCAATGCTTTATAAGTATTCTTATAAATGCCTATAAATATCTGAAGGGTGGGTGTCAGGAGGATGGGGCCAGACTCTTTTCAGTGGTGCCCAGCGACAGAACAAGGGGCAATGGGCACAAACTGAAGCACAGCAAGTTCCGTCTGAACACGAGGAAGAACTTCCTCCCTCTGAGGGTGACGGAGCACTGGAACAGGCTGCCCAGGGAGGTTGTGGAGTCTCCTTCTCTGGAGATATTCAAGTCACACCTGGATGAGGTCCTGTGCAGCCTGCTCTAGGTGACCCTGCTTTGGCAGAGTGGTTGGAATAGATGATCCACAGAGGTCCCTTCCAACCCCTATGGTTCTGTGATTCTGCGATATGCTTGAACTTGATAGCTCATTTCCTGCTGGTGGCTTTTAAACTGTTTACTACAAGTGTTTGAGTTATAGGCTTGGCTGGATAATCTTGGCATTTTAGAGATGCTTTATTTAGTTTCTGAATTTGATTTTGTAGATGAATGTGGAAAGGAGGTCTTGGGTTACCACTCTTAGTGGAAGCTATGCTGCTGTGCAAAGTGGAGGAGTTTTTAGTTTCTGCCATCCTGTCTAGTGCTCTGAGACATGGAAGCTTTAAAGGGAGATGGCATTGGTTGCTTTGCACCAAACTGTCTTTGGGCCCCCTATGTGCAGTAGCACTGTGAGGTACCTTGTGAGGCAGTCCCTTCCAGCTGTCTTCTGGCACAGCTCAGCCGGAGAGCCCGGTAAGAGCTAGGAGATCTGTCTCACAAAGTCCTGCCGATCAGCAATAGCTTGTCCCTGAGCGAGGCTCTCCCCTAGACTTTGAGCAGGTAGAGAGCTTCACCTGAAGGCAAGACGCTGCGACCAGATGCATCTGTGCGCTCCATCTGCTCCTCTGCAGTTGTAGCAGGCGTTGCTGGAGGCTGCAGAAGACCACTGAACCAAGCCCAGAGTTGCAGTAAATGCTTGCTTTTGGATTTTCTTTGCATTTGGAAGTGGTTCACAAATCTACAATTTGATTTCCCTCTTTTTTTTCCTAGGATATTCGAAACTTGCGATTTGCTCATAAGCCTGAAGGGAGAACTAGACGATCCATATTTGAGAACCTAATGAAATATGCTTTCCCAGTTTCAAATAATCTGGTAGGTATTTTCTTTTTGGTTTGTACCAAGAGACATAGAGCAGCAGTAAGCTGTTCTGTTCAGTCCCATCTGCCTGGTACAATGTTCACGTGATGTGCGTTTTGTTGAAGGAGGAGAAGTGCTGGGTTTTAAATCTGTTTTAGAATTAATTCTGTAGGAGTTTAGATTGTATAGAAAACAAGAAAAGTCTGCTACCATAGGGCTGGATTCCTTCAGGCATGGAGAATGACTTACTGATACATCCTCGCAACAGAGGGAAAACATTCACAGCACAGTGACATCCATCAGAGGTTTACAGCTAATGGTGGCTGCACTGCCTCAGAGCTGGAACGCAGTTCATCTGCTCTGTCGTGTTGCGACACTGCAGTTGCTGCCTCAAATACTGGCTGAAAGGATCTAGTTCTGAGTATGTCAGAGCATGCTTGCCCAAGAAATCTTCTGTTTCTCTCTTTAATTATCAACTCTCTCTTGCTGTGCAGTACTAGGTGACAGACAAGCAAGATTGGGGTATAGAAGAAAGTACATTGTTTTACTAATTACCTGCTACAGCGAGCATGCTAATATTTTTCACAAGGCCCTAAAAGAAAAGTAGTGCAGTGGGAAAAAAAGAAAGACGAGTCATGAGTTATTATTTGAGATATCAAACATCCTGGAAATAGGCTCTGACTGGGCTCTTAACAGTAAATTTTCTTTCTTTCAGCCACTTTTTGCATTTGAGTACAAAGAGATTTTCCCAGAAAATGGATGGAAGGTGTATGACCCCACTTGGGAGTACAGAAGACAGGTGGGTGTTGTGCCATGTGCTGTTCCTCTTTACTCGTCAGAAGCGAGGCTCCGTGCAGCAATGTAATTACAGGTCGCATGGAATGGAGAATGATCCTGCTGACGGGTGTCGTGCAGGCCGGGTTAGGACATTGTTCTCCACACTGCAGCGACTGATGACAGCAGTACAGCTTTAGATATAGTAGCATCCACGGAGGGCGATTACTCAGGCTGCAGAGAGCTGACTTTAGGCTTTGGAAGAAAAAACTATTTCTCTGGCTTAGTCATCAGCCACTGCTGGCAGTGAGGAACGGAGGATGTGTTTTGCAGGTACAGACATCCCATCGTTGAGTTTCACACCTCAGCTCTTGCTTGTATCCAGTTTTAATTCTTTCCGGTTTTCTGTAAGGTATCTCAAAGAGGAACGTGGAAGGACAAAAAAAATTAAGTGTAGAAAGCCTTCATTTTCTTGGGGAATCAGTGTAGGGATCAACCTAGAGAGTGTTGTGGTTAACCATAGCTTGGAACAGACAGCTGTAGTGTGTCCAGAGTAGACTGGTCAAAGGTGTTCATGATGGTGAATACTGCAATAAAACGTTGAGTGGTGCACTCTGGGGGAAAAGATGGGAGAATTTGGGGTTTTATAATGAAATCACTCTTATCATAAAATTTTCAAGTTGAGGAAACAGCACAACTCGATGACAGTTTTGACCTGGACGCAGTAAACTCTTGTCTCATCAGATCTGCCACGATAAAATCAATTTTCCTTTGTAAAATTAAGAAGTTTACAGCCATGTAATTTAATTATTTGAGTCGTTCCCATAAAGCAAACCAAAACAAGACGTCTGTCCTAACCTAGTTGTTCATCTGATTCCTCACATCCAAAACCTAAGGAAGGGATTAATTTTCCTAGCTTAATCTTCTGAAAGCTGGGCATGTCTTGTAAATTGGTTATCTAGGCCTGTCATTAACAGATGGGGAGAGCGAGCTTCACTGTTGGGGGTGATTTGTTCCCTCCTAAAATAGCTGCCTATGATAGATGGCTGGTTTCTAGGCTGCTAATTGAAAGTGAGATATATCTTACCTCCACTGTCTGCATTGCAAAAAAGTGTATGTTTTGCAAGGAGATACCATAATCTGAAATCCTGGGAGAGACAATCTCCAGTCGTTTGCAATCGATGATACACACTGTATCTAAGGTCCGCTTTGACTAGTAAGACCAGATAATGCAGCGATTATTGCTTTGTTTGGAAGTTACCTCTTTCTTGGTAGTTATTTTAAGGAAAGTTCTGTTTATAAAGAAGGATCTGCAGCCCAAGCTGTATGGGAAAGAGGCTTCGTAACAGGACTGACAACTTTGGAGTAAAGACCAAAGAATACCTGTGCTATCAAAATAATCTCCGTTGAAAAGCACAGCGTTCACTTAGCCAAGCTTCGGTTAAAGCAGATGAAGTACAAAAGACATTCTTACAATACCTGGAAAGAAGGAAGGGTGACCCTTGAGAATGTCAAGGTGAATTACTTCAATTTCTTAATCCTGGCATGTCTGTTTTTAGAGTACGAGCTTTTCTGTCTATATTAGTTTTTATATTGTGGTTGGCTGTACCTTAAATTTGGCTGGGGCTTAGTTACACAGTGAAAGGATATGTATATTTACATGCATGTGATTTGCAGCTCTTCCTGGCCTTTCTGTAAAGAAAATGGGACCGTGGGCGGTGGTGGCTTTGTTTCTGGTCACATCACATGAGGCAGTGTGTAAGGCATGTCAGGATTGCGACATTGCCGCGGCACATACTTCTTGTGTTGTGACCGGCTTTTGTATCGTTTCTGAGTGGACAGGAAGAACTTATCCTGACTTCTTTTGTATCAAGAAACCGTACTGATGTCTGTGTGCCAAAGCCCCCAGTCATTTGCTTACATTTCTAACTGCAAAAATGAATCCCAACCAGGATTTTTTGCAGCCACGACCCATCTGAATTTTATCCATGATGGGCCACAGTCATTCCCTTTCGAGATCACGCAATCCATCTGTTGCAGTAGTTTATCTCCAGAAGTGACCAGCACCAGCTGCTGAAGAAGGGGCAAACAGTGCTGCCGTAGACATTTATGTTGTGGTCTGGCCAGGAGGAGAATTTCATCCCTTTCGTTAGAGTTGATTTAGGCCCTGCAGCGTGAAGCTTTACGTCCCCTCCAAAACTCTTAGGTATTTCACTCTGTTTATTTAATTTTGGTGTTTATAACTATGGATGTTCAGTTTATCTGTGTGAATGTCTTAGCCTTTTTTCTTAATCCAGGCAGGTTCTGTCAAAGCAATAACAAATACTACAGTAAATCAGGATTATGTCGTGAAATGGCAGCAGGGATTCATTAACAGTGAAGCAAAACTGGCATCACCAGATCAGATAACGGGATTACCTGTCTCTGACTGTATGAATTGTGATCAGAAATAGAAAAGCAGGGCATATGTGCTGTCTGCAGGACCTTTTAGAATTCGTTTTAAAACTCTTGGGAAAGAG